CCCCCCCCCCCCCCACCCCCGCAATCTTGGTTTCAAACGTAAACTAGTTAAGTAGTCGGCGGCACCAAGATTGCGAGATTGCTTGGCAGTCTTGCTCACAAAACTGTTGTAAATTCCATGCACACTGTATTAGTAGGAGTAACCGTAGCAGTAGCAACAATAGTAGCAGTAGCAGTAGCAGCGACTGTGGGACAGGTTTGCAGACGTGGGTCAAGTCACGGTTCCTTGCGGCTGGTGTGTTGTAGCATAAAATCATGTGTTCTATGAACATTGTAGCGCTATGTGTGTGGAACAACTTCTGCGACGGTGTCTGGCTATTTGGAATATGTGCTTTGCAACCACTTCGGCAGCAGCCGCTACTTGCGGACAAATCGTGCACCCGTGCTATGAGCTTGGTACCACTTTCGGCGAGGGCGTCTACTTGAGGAACCGACGAATGTGCTGTCTGGAATTTAAGTGTTTTGTAACCATCTTGGTGGCGGCGTCTACTTGCGGAACGGACAAATCGTCTGCCTGTGCTACATACCTTCCGCGACGGCGTCGATTTGAGGAACTGACGAATCGGCTGTCTGGAATATGACAATGATGTGTTTCGTAACCACTCAGCGTTTACTGGCAGAACGAAGCAAACGCAAGGAGTTTGCTGCGACCCTGTCGTGGCATGTCACCTTCGGGGAAAGCACCAAACCCAGCAATTACAACTATAAAGCGCTTGACAGTGTTTGGGTTCCGTCACAGTCCGTGGTACTTGTTGAGGATAGGTCAGGTGTCGTCCCAGCAGCTGCGTACAATACTTGGTGCGCTAGTACATTTGGCATAGGGTGTTGGCGCAATCTCGCTATCTGCGCAGCACGAACAGCAGGTCTCCACACGCCAATAAGCATCATACCAAATGCGGGGCATTCCAAAAACCTGCGCTCAAAGTCGCCATCGCAAGGCCGGGGACAGGCCGTCGCTCAGGCCGCTGGCCGGTATGAAGACCTCTTCGAGCAGCCACTTAGAACTGCAACCGGCGTGGGCACGGCATGAAATACGATTTGGGTGATCGCGCTGTAGTCAATATGCTCAGCTGCATGGGCCTGTGATGTTGTGCTCCGCAGAGCCAGTTGCACGCCCTGACGTGCAGCCGCCAAAACAAGAGCTTGGCCCAGGTGGCCCACTGGCTGTCACCAGCATGGCGTGTCGGGTACCTGGGGCCGAACACCCTGCAGAGTTTTGGGCGAAGCTCCAGGCCGCACCGCTTGGGGGCTTCTTGGTTTCAGTATGGCAAAATCCCGGGTGGTGGGTGAGGCTTCCCATTCTCAATCGACAACATCTCAACAGTCGGGATGTGTGTGGAACAGCTATAAGGATTGAAGACACAATGCAAGCGCAACCCCAAGCAAGAGCTGGTCGGAGGAGGGAGTGCTGATGACGACCAAGCTGCCTTCCAAGATTTGGCAGATACCACGGAAAGGCCGGTAGATGCGGGGATGCAGCCAACTAGTGCTGGGCCGTCGCAGTGCGGGGTCCAACTCAGAATCCCGACTAGAGCAGCACTTGGCATATCTGCGAGCTGCGCTGCCATCGACATGCACATCTCTCTGCATCTCTTGTAGTCAGATGCTCTACAGTATCATCGACCACATGTGGCGCAGCTGAAGATCAAAGACCGGGCTTGTGTTGTCCATTGCAGGAGTCGTTCCAGATCATGGCTTCGACTGTCAGTTCTGGAACACCACGCCCGCTGCCGCGGCTACCTGCCTGCAGCACACCGCGCACACACAATGGGTCTAAGAGTCGGGTCAGGTTTGTGTTTTTTTGAAATGAGTCGCAGGAGAAGCACATCGATGAAAGACACCATTCAGTCGAGATAGGCATGTGCTGTCTGCTAGCGTGGCAAGAGGCGCTGAAGCGGTAGCCACTCCCAAGGCTCTGCTGGACACATCGCAGCGGGCAATCCTTGAGGTGCAGGGTTCCTGCTGCCGCGTCTTTGCCCATGTGATCTCTAGAACCGCCTCAGGTGGCCTACGAAGCCCTACAAGCCCTGGGGACGCCCGTGGTTTCTGGTGGTCGCTTACAAGGTCCTCCCGATAGTCAGTCCGAAAGGAAGTTCTTGGAGAAGCCAGCCGTTGTTCTTCTGTGAATGATCGAGTCAACGGCTTCAGGCCTCGAGCTGAGGAGCAAGGAAGTCGGCGTGGCCGTGTGCGGAGGCAGAGAACAGGGGTGTTGAGATTGAGAGGTGCTGTTTGCAATCGACGGTCAACAAAGTCTATAACACGTGGTCAACATGTGACCGCAGCGAATCTCACGTCATTGGTTTGCGACGGGATTTACATGCTGCTCGCTGGGGTTGCAGCTTCGCGGCGTGGCTAGTGGACCCCTTAGATGCTTCAACTCCGTCACGACACTTCAAGGCAGGAGTCCTGCAGGCCGGGCAGCATCGGAAGAACCGGCCACTAAGCCTGATCGTCTGCAGGTTCGCTGAACCACTGGACGGAACAGCTGGGAATCAACCTCGAGCACTCTCGGACACAGCGGCCCGACGAGTACTTCAATCTCGAGGCATGTGGCTTTCTGCTGATGTCACATATACCGAGTGTGTTCAAACGCCTTCCAAACGACAGACATCTTTGTTCGGATTCTGCATTAGGAACAATGCTCACATAGGGTCTCGCGTCGAAGACCCCTGCGCAAGCGAAGGTGGGGCGCATTCCCCTTGTCCTGCTGGCACTGCTATCTCACGAAGCCGTGCTTTATCACACTGAAGATGACTGAAGTATACTGAAGTGTCGGGTGGACAAGGATCGCGCTGGAACGACCTGTGGACGGCCTCGCGACATCATGAGAAAATGTGGACACCTGCAAAAGGGATTCTAAGGCCACAAGCCTCATGACCGCACACCCATCCGGTCGGCTTATCAAGAATGAGGAGCGATCAGCCCAAAACGCTCCGAGATTTGCAGGTGGGTACGGACAAGGATTACCTGGCCACCAGCATCGCGTACCGCTTTGACCTCGCCGGCCCCGCAGAGGTAGGAGCCGGTCGTGCAACGGTTCTGCTGCACCGTACGGCTGCTCTCCTCTCGTTTGCGGAACCCCCTCATTGCACAAGGTGGTTCAAACAGCTTGCAGCTCCGCTCTGGTTGCGATCCGAAGAGGGGCCCAGCTCCAAGAGTGATCAGTGTAATGCGGAGTGATGGTTGCCTTCGGGGCACTGTGCAAGCAGCCCACCGAACATCATGACTTGCGCCTTGAATCGAGGTGCAAATGGTGAGGGCTGGAGATTGCGACCCTTACTTGAAGTAATCACCTGCATCGATCTCCCAGTTCGTGATGGCTGGAAATCTCAACACGCATCGCTGGTCAAGATGCTCCTAAGGAGAGTGTGGTTTCCGGCGGAGCCTCTTTCTCTCCAGACGCCCCCATCAAGTACGTGGATGGCCTCATTTGGGCCCGGGACGGCGCACCTTGTCCTCCCGTTGGAAAGGGCATTGGGACTGTGAGGGAATACTGTCAATGTGACAACTTGATAAGAGCCCTCGTACTGCCGTCGCCATCCTGACCTGTGATGGAGATTCGGTGAAGATGCCGATGGTAGTGATGATGATGGTCATGAAGAAGATGATGATGCTGCTGAATGCTGTTGATGGTTGTGATGCTGATGATGATGATGATGATGATGGCGATGACGAGAGTGCTTATCACTACGTCTCTGTGCCTTTTGTTTGGCAATTACTGCATAGCGTTACTCTGAACATCATCTAGTAGCACTATCAGACGCAGCAGGAGTACGAGTAGGAGCAGGAGTAGCCGTAGCAGTAGTAACTCAGTAGTAGTAGCAGCAGCAGCAGCAGCATTAGCAGTAGGAGCAGTAGGAGTGGTGGTAGCAGTCGTCGTCGTCGTCGTCGTCGTAGTAGTAGTAGTAGTAGTAGTAGTGGTAGGTAGTTGTTGTTGTAGCAGCAGCAGCAGCAGGAGGAGGAGGAGGAGTAGTAGTAGTAGTAGCATTGGTAGCAGTAGTAGTAGGAGCAGTGGCGGTAGTGGTAGTGGTGGTAGTAGAAGTAGTAGCAGTAGTAGTAGTAGTAGTAGTAGTAGTAGGAGTAGGAGTAGGAGTAGGAGTAGGAGTAGGAGTAGGAGTAGGAGTAGCAGTAGCAGTAGCAGGAGGAGTAGGAG